TTGCCACCGTGCGAAAGTATGACGCACGGCTCGCAAAAGGGTTAAATGCTTTCCGTGGCCCGCTATTTCGCAACATCGTAATTCTCTCGGCGGCGGGCGGGCGGAGGCGCGGGAGGTGGGGGATGAGCGTTTCCGGCGTTATCACGGCGGCTAGCCACCAGTGGAAAGGTCTATTCGGCAAGTTGGCCGCCATGATAAAGGTGTTCCGCGGCGAGGGCGAACGTACGCGCAGTATTTAACGTTTTACTCGCGAGAAGCGTCGCAGTTTTCCGCGATACGCCGCTAACGCGATAAATTGTTCCGCGTTCCGCTTATCATCGCCTTTTCCCCGAGTCTCTGTATCGTCCGCCTCTTCCGCATCGTCTTTCTATACGGTACTCTTCTTCATCTCCTTCCTCTCCCCCCCCCCCTTTTCGGCTGCTTCTTCCTCTCCTTTCTTCACCTTCTTCTTCACCAGCTCGTCTTGCTCGCTTAATGTCTCGACGTTATTTAACGCGCTCGTGGGAAAACGTTGCCCGGGCTTGAGTTACAGCTCGCGCGAGGAAAAACCAGCCAGCTCGCCGCGGCTGGATCAACCACGGCTTAGAGCCATCGTGTGTCGCGCGCAATCTGATGATGTGACCTTGTTTCGGGTTTCGTGGAATTCGTATCGCGAGCTCTTGGTTACTCGGTACACGGAGTGGCGAGCGAAGCGTATTTGAACAGCTACCCGCGGGATACTTCTCATACGCGCGCATTATGCGCATCATTCGCGTTTCGTTTCAAATATCTTGGAACGAAACCGGTGCAACGTACAAATGAGACCAATTTGATCGACCTAACTCTGGATATAAAATATTTGAATTAAATTGTACGTTTTAACAACTGATCGTTACACTTGGAAGTATGCTGTGTAATAAGATTCCGAGGTGCGTGAGAGTGAAAATTTATGGAGAGCCACGTGATACCGATATTTGGATTTTAGGAATTAAAGAGAATGGCGAAACTATGTGTGGTTAGGTACTTTACAGGACAAATTGGCTGAAAAACAATTTCAAATACAATGTTCCATGTAGAGAAAATAAAGAATTTAAGAGGCAGAATTGAACAAGTTGTCACAGTTGAACATTCTTTGCGTCGTCAGAATAATTTCGAGAGAATCAGCTTCCAAAGCCCTACACCGTGACTCATTCTGAATTAGAATACTTTAGCTGTATGAAACTGTTTCGCTGTTATCCTTTGATTTAAAACAACCATTGGAAATCGTTTCGACGTGTTTATGGGGATTAAGGTTCTGCTTCTGTAACTAAAGAAACTGTAATACGTCGTTTATAGGTGGCAGATTTATCGTTTATCGATATATGATTCAATTTCTCCGCGCTTCATTAGTTATTTAATAGCGCAGGAATAACAGCTTGAGGTAAGCGGCTCTTATAATTAATTATATACACCGTGCTGCAGAAACGATGCAGATTTTCGCGATTTATCATTTCCCTTATTAATCATTCTCCTCGCTGCTGAACGTTCCTTTTTTCCAGAGCCGGCAGATCACTCCTACTCGCACTATCTTGCACACCCTTCGTTGAAAATAATTACAAATTTCGAAGCAGATATGAAAATTACAAGATATATTTTTTCGTAGAGAGCAAGAAAATATTATTATTATAATTTCTATTAATTTCTTGCTTATACGTGCGCGTTACATTTCAAATCTGATCTTAGGTATAACCTCGTGTCTCTCGTTTGAACACGTTTCACGCAGAACATATGCAACCTCTCGAATAAAAGTCCCCCTTTTTTCATAGCAAGTGATCAAACATTTTCGTGAGCCATTACAGCTAAGGCTCTCTCTCTCTCTCTCTCTCTCTCTCGAGTGCCTCGCGCCTTGGTCGAGAATCCATTTCCTGTATTCAAGCACGAAGAAACTTCTCGAGAGGATGCTGTCTCGATAACCAAACACTCGCGAACGCGAATGATCGAAATATCCACGAGACAAATTCAACTTGGAGTACCGTTACCAAGGCAAGAAATTCAATTTATCCGATCTTAATCCAACGAGATTAAATCCGAGTCTTCGCGAGTCAAAGTTGATCGTATCGATGGAAGCTGCGAGTAACTCTTTTCATAATTAGAAAAGACAAATGACAGTGTCATTCCTTTTTGCAGAAAACCACCGCGAACCTTTCTCATTCGAGTTTTACAGTTAAGCGCAGCGAGGTGTTAAAATTTAATAAACACCGCTTTCTGCCTTCTCGCACCTTGTCCGCGAGAACCATAAACCCTCGCCAAGGGGGAGGAGGAGGCTGCAAGCGTCCAATAAAAATTTCCTCGAAACGCGGCGGAATAATAACTGGTGATTATCGGCTTTCGGCTACTTGCCGATACAGCCACAGTTCACAGTGAAAGTGTGAACGAGTTTACGCGGCCACGGCTATAGAATTATCGACGGAGCTCGAAACGAGCAGCCATGAAAATATTTATTGCACCATCGTTGCACCGTCGTCCAACCGCGGAATATTAATAAGAAGCGTTTCTCCTCGCCTTCGTTTCACCCGAGGAACAATCGCCGAACAATATTAATAATCGTCTTGGATCTCAACGTTCGAAGGTAAGAAAAAAAAAAAAACAGAAAAAAAAGAGGAAAAAGAGTTGGAAGAAGAAAGAGGTTGGGACAGAGCGAAAAGCGATGAGAAAACGGGAGCAACTTGGTGAAAAGAGGAGCCACATTCGACGAGAGGGGGGAATGGAAAGCTATTAGTGTCGAGCGAATTAAAACGAGTTAGGCGAAGAACGTCAAAGTTCGGGGGGGGGAGGGGTGTGGGTGGAGGAGGCTGGGGCTTTCCTTCGATGGAAAACTTTCGAGTTAGCCGCGTTCGCTGACCCGAACGCGATTTCTCACGGCCGATGTGACAAAGGAGCAAAAAGAAGAATGTCCGTTCTTTTTTTTTTTTCTCTCTCTCTTGTATTTTTTTTTCTTTTTTTTTTACAAAACAAACGTGTTTATTTCTTATGGTTCTTTGCTGAAATGGAAAGTGGCAATTATATAATTTAATAATCACGTATAACAGACCGTGAATACAATATATATATATACATACACATATATATGTATATATACACACACATATATATATATATATATATATATACATATACGTGTGATCCGATGAGCGTATTTACAACAATACAATACAATCAATAAATCCGCAAGTTCCTTGGAGAGGAGTCGAGAAATTTTCTCCCGAGACCAGAGATGATAATCCTATATATAGGTACAAGTGCCTGGCCACTTTGATGTGCTCGAGAAGTGTGCGTGAAGTTATTTACAACGTTCAGATTATACACAAGTATTTACAGGAGGTATTCACTTACAGACTAATAAGCGTTTGGCGACCGTTGCTTTTTCTCGCAAAAAGACAGTCGTGAATCTTAGGAACGAGGTGTGTGTCTCGCTAGACGTCTCCTCCTCTGTCTTTTCCTCTTCTTCTTCCTCCTCCTCGTTTCACTCATTATCTCTCATTCTCTCCTCGATCCACGTATGTATATATCAACATATAACTAGCCTTTCTTTCTTCTCTTTAGTTTCTCTCGACACATGCGCGCAATTCTTTCAAAGAAACTCTCTCTCTCTCTCTCTCTCTCTTATACTCCCATGCATTCCTTTCTCTCTAGCTAACAAATTGACGAACGAACGACAGGAATGAGAACTAGAGGTGTGTTAATCTCGTATCCCGAAGACGATTGAGCGGGAGAGGCGAAGGGGCAGTGGTGGAAAACGTACGAAGAAAAGTGCTCATCCCGGGATCACGGAGCGCACACACGACATTCTCGTCTTTTCTCCTCTCTCTTTCGTCTCTGCCCGAAAAACCGCCAGCTCGATCGCGATCTATCGCAACCTATAACGAGTCTAAACGCTCCGTCGTTCGCGGGGGAGAATCTAAATAAAAGAAAATACGACGCAACGGGTGAAAAACGCTCGGAACGCTGAAGGTAACCGAACGGTTCCCTTGGAAAATAAAAATTAACCTCGAGCTACACTCGACTCGCGTCCGTCGCTTCTGAGAGACACGGAGGGTTACACCACGATGGTTTCTCGTTCTTGGTTTCGCGAGAACGCGGCGAAATAGCGATCTTTCGCCTTTCCGTTCGAAAACAATCGAAAGATCACGATTCGATAAAGAAACGAAAGTGTCAAAATGTTAGAAATCAAAGGAACGTCAAACGTATCAAATAAACAACGAAATGTTCGAATCTTCCGATCGTTCGAAAGGAAACTCATCCGTTCGGAAACCGTCGCGATAACCCCCGAGTCGCGTAAAACAAAATTATCACTTTTAATACGAAAATTCATCGATCCTTGTCGCGGGATCGTAAAACAAACGAAATCACGGCGCTGGTTGGCTCAACTTGTGAACGAATGGAAACTAAATAACGACGTACGTAAGGGAGGGCGAGAAAGGTGAATATCTCGGCGATCGATCGATCGATCGATCGAGGTGCGCGGTGAAATTGGCGAACGCTGGCTTCGTCCGATGACGAAGCGACAAGATTCGTGTTTTTCAAGCGTAATCGAAACTCTCGACGTGGCGAGAACCTCCCGTGCGACGAGGAGAATTTCGCGGCCTTTCTTCCCTTCTTTCTTTCTCTCTTTCTCGCGCGTTTCTAGAAAGACGAATTCTGAACGAGGTGGTCGTGCAACAACGAAGAAGAATTTCTATAATCTACTTCGAATCTCTGGGGTTGCGTTGCTTAACTCTTTCTTTTTTTTCTTCTTCTTCTTAACTCGGTGTTTCATTTTAGGCCCTATAGATGCGACAATCCATGTCCTCATTGACTGTCATGTTTTTACTTCATTCTTCTCTTTCTCTCTTTCATCACCTAAAGCGTTTACTCTTAGCTTCGTACACATATAGTACATATACATATACATATACATACATACATATATATATATATATATATATATATATATATATATATATATATATATATATATATATATATATATATATATATATATATATCCGAAAAATGTATCGTCGTAAAGAGGAAAACTCTGCCTTTTAAATGTCTTCTCTCTAGCAAGTTAAAAAATAATGACTCGATCACGTGCGTGTTCCCCGTGTACAAAGGAGAACGCTTTATTAAATAAACCTGGCTCTCGAAGATTCTGTCGCCGGTACTCGTACTCGCCGAGGTAGAACGGAAAGGATTCGAGGGTGCCTCGCGTCCTCTGGAAAGCACTTTCTCGCGAGGCGATACTCTCGATACCGATTGTCCGACCCCGACCCGAAACCCCTGCATAAACGATCCTCCCCTGCTTCGTTCCGTTTCGTAACGCGCGCGGAAACACCGAGGAAGATCTCTCTAGTCGACCGATTCTAGTGGAAGAGCAAACAGAGCGACGCCGGGCGAATCGTCGCGCGCGTAACGCCATCGCGTCGGTCAATCGCGAGCAACGAACGAAACTGTACAAATACTCTACACGCTCATTCTCTCGCTTCGTTTTCTTTCATTTCCTAATTTATATTCTCTCTCTCTCTCTCTCTCTCTCTCTCTCATTCCCATATATTCTTAGAGCGAGTTTTTTACAATCGCAGGCTCCATCAGAGTCCAGCCTCTGACACGGTTCATAGCGGATCGTCGCGCGAGAGACGACGACGACTGTCTGTACTAGACGAAGTAAGTACGAGGATTGGCTGGATGCGTCAAGACCTCACCAGGAGGTGCGGTGGGCACCGGTGGTTCCGGTATCGTGCTGTAAAGGTGGCTGCCCCTGGAGGAGAGGCTGGCCGGCCGTCCGTTTCCGGCGTGCAACGCGCTGTAACCGGCGTGCTGATGTTGATGTTGATGTTGGTGCTGATGCTGATGCTGATGCTGGTGCTGATGTTCCGCGCCGCTGTCCTCGTCCTCGGTCCTGCTGGACGCCGAGCTGACATAGGTGGACTGCGTGGGCGTGGGCGTGGGTGCGTGCACCGGCGCGACCAAAACACCATTGGGCTTGGTCCACACGTCGCCGGCGGACGGCGCGGCGGTGTAACGCGCCGGTTTGCGATTTCGGTCGTTCACCTTCTTGCTGTCGCGCCTCTTGCCCACGGAGTCCGGCATCGCGAACCGTAATTTCTCCCAGAACCTCTTCTCGCCCCACATCACCACCGTGCAGGTCTGCAGCAACAGCTGGAGCTCGGGGTCGCGGGCAGGAGCCTCGGTGGCCAGAAGAACGACCACGCGTCGTTTCCTCGAGCCGGGTCTGATGTTCTCGAGCGCGGTCCTCAAAGCAGCGCGGAACTCCGCGTGCTGCCACTCGTTGGCCAGGAACACCGGCGAGAAGATGATGACGATGCGGCGGGCAGCGGCTGCTGCCGGTGGCACCGCCTCCTGCGGCCTGGCCGGTGGCAAGTCTCGCCAGTGAAGACAAAGCGCCAGGCCGGACTGTTCCAGCTCGGCGGCCAAAAATCTCGAGACAAAGTCCTCGTCCCTCTCGCTGTAGACTATGTAGCCGTCGTAGAGACGGTCCCTCTCCTCGTCCGGCGGCGTCGTCATTTTCCCGAGGCGGAGGCCGTAACGTGCGTGCGCCCATAGACGCACGTCCTGTCGGAACGCGAACGCGAGCGCGACGAACAGGCAAATAGCGATCACGGCGACCAACGCGCCGGCTAAAAGCGGCACGAAGTTGCCACCTAGCAGCGGTATCTCTTGAATGCCACGGCTGACAGCCTCCGTGGACGGATCGCCGCAACGCTTCATAGCCTGCGCCAGTGTCTCGACGCCGTCGCGGCAGTACATCTTCTCCGGGTCGCCGCGATGCTCGGCCAACCAGCCGCGCAATTTCGCGGCGTTGCCGCACTCGCAGCTCCAGGCGTTACCCTCCAGCGCGACCACTCGCGTGCTATCACCCACGCTGGGCAACGCTTCCCACGGCCTGAAGTTCACGATCCGATTGCTGTCCAGCCTCAGCACCTCGAGGTTCTTCATCTTCTTGAAGGTCGTGTTGCCGACGGTCGCGATCGCGTTGTGATCCAGATAGAGCTCGGACATCCGTTCCAGCTGATCGAACTCGAAGCCGCGTAGCTCGCGCAGTGCATTGTCCTCGAGGTGAAGGACGCGCAACGCGCCGACACCGTTGAACGTGAAATTGTGAATGGCGGATATGCCGCTGTTGTTGAGGAACAGCACCTCCAGCCTTCGTTTCCCGATGAACACGTGGCTGCCGAGATCGCCGAGCTCGTTCCCATCCAGATAGATCTCGGTCGCGTCCATGGGAATCCTCTCGGGTACGTGTTTGTAGCCGGCGTTCGAACAGTCCACCACGTTGCTCGACCAGCTGTGGTCGTGATAGCACGAGCAATTGTCCGGGCAGGTCATCTCGCAGTCGCACGCGTCGAAGTCGCAACAATGGCACAGGGCGAAACAATGCGCCCTGTACTGACAGAGGAAGTCTTTCGGTTTCAGCGACAGCAGCGGTCTTCGCGGTGTGGCGCGCGCGTGCACCATCTCGCACGTGACCGAATCGAGATCCATCACGCGAGGATGCTGCCGTAGACGTGCCATCTCGTTGATCCTCGGCAACCATTCCATGGTGCAGTTGCACAGGAGGGGATTGTTCCCGATGTAGAACTGCGGCAGTTCCTCGTCATCCGGCACCGTCTGCAACGCGATCGCCGCAACGTCCAAACTTCGTATCTCGTTCTCGTACAGCATGACCTTCTGCAGGCTCCTCTTCTGCAGGAACGTACCCGGCGCGATCGCCCGTATCCTGTTGTTGTTGAGGAACAACGTCTCCACGCTGTCGGGCACGTTCGCATCGGCGATCTCGACGATTTGGTTGTAGCTCGCGTCCAGCATCTTTATACGCAGCGTGTTCTTCACCGTGTAATAATTCCCGAGCTCGCTTATCTGATTCGCGTGTACGTCCAGCCATTCTATGCTGCTCGGCAGATGACTGTAGTCGAACCACAGCAGCTTATTGTCCGACACGTTCAGCCAGACGAGGGTCGTCAGGCTGGTGAACGCGCCGCGTATCTCCGTTAGCTGATTCCCGTCCAGCCGAATGGCGCGCAACACCGGGTTGCCCGAGAACGCGCTCTGCTCCACGTGACGGATGTAATTGTTCGCCAGGTTCAACACCTGAAGCGCGGGCAACGCGGCGAATGCCTCGCGCGACACGTTCTCCAGCTTGTTGTCTACCAGCCGCAGCCCGTACAGCTCGCTCAGCCCGTCGAACGAGTCGTTGTCGATCCTCGACACGTGGTTCTTCCCAAGGTCGAGCGTTTTCAGCGAACGAAGCACGCGAACCGCGTGCGGGATCTCCGTCAGGTAGTTGCCGCGGAGCGAGAGGTCCTGCAGCCCGGTCAGATTGTCGAACACGTGGCGATGAAGCGTCCGCAGTTTGTTCGTGTCGAGGAAAAGCTGATTGAGAGTGGTGAGGCCGACGGTGTGCGCCGGGTCGAACCTCGCTATGCGATTGTGCGACAGCGTCAACGAGTGCAGATTGGTCAGCGAGCCGAAACACCCGTCGACCAGCGTCTCGATCTCGTTGTGCTCGAGCTTCAGTATCTGAAGGCTGTACAGTCCCTTGAACACGTGGGCGTCGATCCTCGTGAGCGCGTTGAAAGACAAGTCGAGAATGACGAGGCGTACGAGCCTGGAGAACGTGTCCCTGTTGACCCAGCGGTTCGTCAGTTCGTTGCTGCTCAAATCCAGTATCTGCAACTCGATCAGACTGTCCAACAAACCGGGCGCCAACACCGCCAGCGAGTTGTTGCTCAGTATCAGCTCCCTAAGTTCCTTCGTTCGCGAGAACAACTCGGGCGGCAACGCGACCAGCCGGTTGCTGGACATGTTGAGCGAGTGTAGCGCGGCCAGCCCGGCGAGAGCGTGATCGCCCACCGCGGTGATCACGTTCTCCTGCAGCTTCAACACCGTTAGGGTTCGCAGATTGCTCAGCGCTCGATCGTGCAGGGTGTTGAGGTCGTTGTTGCTGAGATCGAGCACCTCGAGGCTCGGCGTGCACGACTCGGCCAAGTCGGAGAAGCCCAGAGAAACGATGTCCTGTAACTTGTTGCGCGTGAGGTTCAGCGTGGCCAGGCTCTGCACCGGGCAGAGCAACTCGGCCGGCAGCGTCCACAGATTGTTGTCGGCCAGGTCCAAATGCTGCAGATAGGTGAGACCGCGGAGAGAGTCCCGGTGAAGCTCGAGTGTCATCGCCGACCAGTCGCCGTTGTGCGTTCTCACGGACAGAGTGCGTAAATTGTGCGCGGACGCGAAAACACCGCCGGGCAGGTATCGGATCTTGCAGTAATCCACGCGAAGCTTTTCCAAACGAGGCAGAGGTGAGAAGAAACCGTGCGGACCGTCGATCTGGCTCTCGAAGAACAGCACGTCGCTGCATTCCAAGGCCAAAGAGCTGATCGAGTCCACTTGAATGGCCGAGAGATTGCCAATTAGGCTGGGCACGTTGGCGATAGTCCTAACCCTGCAGGCCAGTGCTTTTTCACCGTCCTCTCCGTCCTTTTTCCACTCGCAGCCGGTCGGTGCCTCGAGACTGGTGATGCTGCGGCCGTCTGTCGTGCCAACGTTGAAAAACCACGTCAGGCACCAGACGATCGTCGCCAGCCGACGCTGGTCCCGTCTCCACTCCATTACCGAGCAATTGTCGCACGCGTTGCTGCGTCGTCGTTGTTGCTCGCCGCAACACACTCGCTCCAAACTGACTCCGACTCCGTCTCCGTCTCCGTCTCCGTCTCCGTCGCGTGATTCGCGTGAGTCAGTCGTCGTAACTCGTTGCCGACTCTGGTCGTCGTCACGCACTCATAGTCACTTGCTCCCGCAGTATACCGCTCTCTCTCTCTGTCGGCCCGAGCCGATCCCAAGATCCGCTGTTACCCGCCTTTCTTGCCCGAACAAGACGAAAACTTTCGATACTCGTATCTTCCGGGGAGAGAGAGAAAGAAAGTGACGAGATATCCTCCGCGCACCAAGCGAATTTCACTGCTCGACGAGGGGAAGCACACCACGAAGCAAGAGAATGATCAATCTCCAGCGACGACGTTGCCCGACGTGCTTGTACAAATAGAACAAACACCGATCGATCATAACCACTGACTGACACCAACTCCGAGATTACTCCACCGTCACTTTGCTTTACCACCGTGTTACGCTTTGCAAGAAAACGAAAAAAAAAAGGAAGTAATGAAAAGCGTTATTCACCACAGTTATTGGTAATTGCGTTCGGGGCAAAAGATCTCGAACCTCGTGCGAGAAACTACGTGCGCGTACGGTGAAACGTTTGAAACGAAGTCGGATAATCGGAGAGCGGACGAACGCGAGAACGTTCCACCGTGAACGTCCGACAGCAACTGACTCCGACTCCGAATCCCTATTCTATCGACGGTCACGCACCCTGCATGACTGCCGGCGTGCAGCAACCCCCACTTCTTCCCCCACCACCGGCCAATTTTACCTCCACCACCCGTAGGACATATCCCTCCAACGGGATCCCCACTGAATTCCCTCGCGTTGAATACGAATCTACGATATAGTAACGCTCGTCTCTTTCTCTCTCTCTCTCTCTCTCTCTCTCTCTCTCTCTCTCTCTCTTTCTCTCTGCTTGTAACGCTCGTCCCTCACATACACTCGCGCACGCACGCAAGAGAGGATGTGAAAGTACGTACGCGAGCGTGTAAGCGTGCTAGCGTTTTACGCCACGGGCGGCTGCCTCGTTGCGAAGATGCAACAAACCAGCTGACTGACAACGCTACTTACTAGGTAAACACGAAACTGGTTCCTAGGCGTACGCGGGGCCGCGCATTTATCAAGCGGCTTCTCTTCCCGTCTCTCTTCGAGGGTTCCCTCCCCCGCCGACCGGTTTTCTTACCTACGCCGGGGTTGTCGGTGCTTAATAGGCGACGAGCAGCCTCGTGTTCTTTCGCATTCGACCGGACAACCCCTGTGATTTGTTGTCTATGGGTCCCCGCCGCTGATTTGTACACGCGTCCTCCGCTTCCGGTACACAAAGCGGCGACAGCAGGGCGGGAGGAGGGCAGGTCTTTCTGGAAGTTTGTTTGAGAATTCCGCGGGAGAAGCGACGGTTTCAATTTTATTCAAACGTCTCGAGAAGTTGTTAGAGGAGATTGAAGGGCGTTGCGAGTTTCGGTTCGACAAATTCTTCTGCTTCACTTCTGTTTTTGCGTTTTGTGCTTAGGTTAGAGATCGGAGAATATTCGTGGTATACGAAATATCCTAGCGTTATTTTATGTTACACGTGTCGCCTGTGTTCAAGTATCGAAGGGTAAATATTATGAAACACAAAGCGACGTGTCACGAGAACGAGCTCGTGAGAGATCGTTTTTGTACCAGTTTAATTGAGAGCTATATATTTACTACGTCAGACACGCCGTCGTACTTCCACGCTGAACATTCTAAACGATAATGCTTAAAAATCAGTCAGCGATGCTGACTAAAAATATTAACACTCGTCCTCGTACCGTAAACCTCCGTGCCGTAAACGCGATCTAGAATCATTAACACCTGCCTCTAGATTTCCATTCTCGGACTCGCGATCCAGAAACTTTAACACGTTCTGACACGTATGTACATAGTTTCCACACCTAACGAATGTAAACATGTATCAATACTCGGCTTGGCGTGAATGAACCGAGAACACGGCCAGAAAAAGTTGTCTGGCTTCTTCCTCGGAATCGGAACTCTGGTTTCTTAATGGTTAAGAACGTTCCTCGGCCATCGTTCTGCTCTCTGTTTACCACGCTACAGAATAAAAATATTTATACCGGAAAATTTACCACGGTCTCGCCGCTGCTGTTCCTCGTTACTTTTTAATTGAGACCCCTTCTTATTTATGGGGTAGTTCCGAAGATCAGGAACATGTACCTCCAACGCCATCTATTTCACGATCTTTGAACTATACCTTTGAAAAGAAAAACACATGCGCGAGTTTCTTTTCTCGATTCTAAAGTCGTTCGAAAGTCAAACCGAGTCAGGCTTCGCTCTTCGCAAATCTATCGTGCATTGTCCGACGCTTGATCTTCCGAAAAATTCTTTCAAAAAATTCTTTTGATTGGTTTGTCCTTCGTTTCCTTTCGGCCTTCCAATTCTCCGAATTGACACATCACGAGCCGCCTCTCAGAAATTGAAGCTCTTCCTACGCTTCCTAGGCATCGATATCTGCAATCTACAACGTGCTCTTCTCGGCACGCCGTATCAGAAACAACAGACAATTTAATGGTTTCGTTAGATTCGAAAAGATGGTTACTCATCTGTCGCGCGCTGTATGCACGTAAGGCGATGAATCACGCGAGGTATACCGGATGAACATGTGGGATTATAAATTCGGAGCCGCGAACTGCGCGCACAATGACGAATGGAGGCGTTTACAGTTTCGAGCGCGAGGGGTTTCCACACTTCATTACGTATTTATGCGTTGTCAAGCTTCCTCCCGCGGTCAAAGATTAACCACTTCGCCAGCCAATTGGAATACTTGATTAACCTCGGCGAACATCTTGCGGATTAATCGCGAGAACGTGTCGATGAAACTTTGACGATTTTGAAAGATATAATCAAGCCCCGTTTCCAAAGAAGACGTAAGATACAACAGTTTCATTCATTTACGAGTCGCTTTATTTCCCGTGTAAAAAATAGCGTTAGAGCACTGCATTTCGAAAATTGAAAGAAAGACCAAATTTTTTTGGTCGCGGGCATGTATCGCTTTGTACGGTAGACAGAGAATTGCGTACTTTTATTCGGTTCTGTGTGGAAAACGTAATATTGTATACCGCGGAATTAAAATTCTAGAGAACGAAAAAAATCGTTTCACTGCAATATTCAATTCACCGCGAAAAATAGAGTAGATTATATTTCGGGCATTAAAAATCTAAAGCGGCAAAAAATTCCTTTGTTGTCGGATGTGAAAAAGGGAATATCGGGTGTGTTCTGGAAATGAAAAGTCTGTGTTGCAAAAAATAATAAAGAAACAGAGGACTCCGAAGAATCAAAGTTCCAGAGAAACTCGAAAATCATCAAAAATTTACCAAAAATTACCTTCCGATGTTCGTTGACATCGCGTTTGCCTCGTTTTCCACAGAGAGAGAGAGAGAGAGACTACACCTCGGAGAGAATGTGTTCAACAATTTGAGACAACAATGATAGCTCAGCTAGTCAACTATTTAAGTATTTAGCTAATCGCGTAGAATCGGAAACGCATTATAGTGTGTCGGGACTTGCCGAAACTTGAACGCAAGATATACACAACTTGAGATTGTAACGACTTAGACAACCCAGACGTGTCCTCGTAATCCCCGAATTCCAAAACACATCAGTCAGCCGGGTCCAACTCGAGCAAATTCGATAACAGAATCAATTTCGCTCCGCAGCTTGCAGGTTGCACGTCGAACGTGCGCGAGGATCGTTTAACAGATTGATCTTATCAATGCGTTACGAGGACGCTCGCCGAGTTCGGTAGGTTTATTTAAGCCGGCGGAACGTCGATATCTTCAAAATGCAACCTTGAACTTTCCACAGTTCGAGAACAATCAGACTCGTCCGTGTGTATTTTTATTACGGGCTGATGGAAGACCGTGACAATTCGGGATTTTAAATCATTCGCACTCTCGGAATTCGTAATTTAATTTCACTCTATCGCTAATCTCAATCGCGGGGAACGTAAAATACCAAGTGAAACTGAACGCTGTAAATTTTCACGATCCGACGTGAATTGCCATTAGTCATGCATAACCTTGTTTAAAGGTTAAAATTACGTTTATTATTTGTAACAATAAAAAATCGACGAACTCTAGTTCTGTGTCTCGTGATTAGATTGTCTTGAAAGCAATGTACGTAAACAAATTTCGAGGCAAATCGCTCGGACTCGATTCGAACATCTCGTCGACTTAAATAACTCTACCGTGGTAGCCTAGTTGTACAAGTGAGCCAGCGACCGTTTAAAGTTTCAAGTTGGATTTACAGGGAGCGGCGTTATTCAACGTATGGCATATATTCTTATTCGCACAGTCGCAGGATTTCTTACCTCACTTCTTATTTCACGGATATATGCCTGTTTCGTTGGATGAAAGAGAAATTGGTTTCGAAAAGCAGCTCGCGCTCCCTTGCCCGTGAAACAGCCACGATATATTAACGCATAAATCGTTACTTGTTATGGCGACCGGCCATTGGAGAAGGTGGAACTTCATCACTAACCGCTAACAAGCCAACTAACGCGGGATACAACGATCTCAACGCCGGTATACGTCGAACGAAATAAATTCTTCGAACCTGTTGGAGATTCGTTCCCTGAACCCTTCACGCCACGTGTAAATTCCATTTAACACAGTGGGTCTGTTTACACAAAATTAAATCCACCAGGTCGTCCCTGAACCACTGTTCTTACGGCGAGAATGATTACTTTAACCAGCGGAAAATTCGTCTAATAAATAAAGAGAGACGAAACGATTCGAAAGTGAGCAATTTCGAAACAAATTCCTCCTCGACGAGAATAAATCGTAACTTTGGAACGAGTGTCTTTCGATTCGGAATTCGAAGCCGCGAGAGTCTCGCGTGATAATTCTCGAGACACATCCTCTTTAACATACAGCGTCGACTTCGAACATCGGAGATTTTCCTTCTGTGCGATTCCCAGCCGAATCTCGTTGAAACACGTTCAGCGCGGAATCTGCTTTTGGGGGGTCGAAGGGGAAATCGGAATTCTTTTCAATGGGATAGAAAACTGGCTGTACATTGTTGACGATGTTATCGGTTCGTCTAACGGAAATCGTCTAGCGGCCATTCCGTGGGTCGCCTAGCTCGTAAGGATTTCCGTCTCGGTTGCGGGGATCGATCCTGGACATAGAGACGCGAAGGTACGCGTGTACGGTCAACGGGCATCATCTGCACTTTCACTCGCGGGTCACTCCAGGGGTCGAGGAAAACTGTATCGTGTCGTGATGCGCCGTGCTGCGTTTGCACACGAGCTGATCGTATCCGGCTGAGAAAGTCGCCGAATCGTCACGCTCTCGCTTTCTACGTGTGACGAACGTTCCTGATAATCATCCGGTTCGTTCGAACACGATCGAGCAGAAGGTGAAATTGGGAGAAAGGAGAATTTTCAATTTTTCTTTTTCTTTTCACAATTATGTCATAATTAGACTTCATAATACAGCACCATTAACTAATAACGAGCACGAGTGGTTCAATTTTTTGTTCCAACATTGTAATATTTTCTCAGTTTTAAGTATATTTAAGTAAGAAAAGATAGGCAACACACAAGTAATAGATTTATTACTTCTGAATAAATTTCTATCCAGTGATGTCATACCGACGAGTTTAAAAGAAAACGAAAGCGACGAATTATTGTGTA